GAGACCTCATCTCTACAATAAATCAAAAAATTAGCCGGGCGTGGAAGCGCGCGCCTGTAGTTCCGGCTACATGGAAGGCTGAGGCAGAAGGATCACCGGAGCCCAGCAGGTCGAGGCTGCGGTGGCCGGGAGTGGCCACTGCACTCCAGTCTGGGAGACAGAGTGAGACTCCAACTCAAAAAAAAAAAAAAAAAAGAAAGAAAGAAAGAAAGAAAACTGCCAGAGCGTGTAAAAATATAGGCTAGTGTGTATAATTTTTCCTTTCTTGAGTAACTATTCTCATTCCCCAGTTTTGTTTTTTTTTATTTTTTTTTAATTTTTAGAAAGGACACGTTTGGCACTTTTGTGTAGTGGGAATGTTATTTCTCTTTGAAGCCGAATTTTCATGATATGGTTGAGTTTATTAGCACTTTGGGATCCAAACTTATGGCTCCCCTGGACCATCTCCTTTGTTGTTGTTATTTTTCTGCACCGTGAGTTTTTGTTTGTTTTTATTCTTTGGTGTTTTGGGCTGTTTTGCAATACCCATGCACCAATTTTAAGGCAGATTAACTGTTCTGGTATTTGTATTTGGTAGTTATGCAAGCAACATGACATCTTGGCTTTCACAACAGGTTTTCTTTACGTTGCTGCAGCTCTGGCTTAGTAAATACTCATTTTTAACCCCACTACCTGCCCAGAAAATACAGAGGTGTTTTTAGGTTTGGGGAATCCTTTCCTGCCTTTAAAGACTTTAATGCTAGCCATTAGTGCAACCCTTTCCACTGCATTCGAGGCATTTTTTTCTAGGTTGGTAAGAGGAAAATATCAACAAACATATACCTCTGAGAACAATAGTTTGTTTTCTTTTAGTTTCTGTTCAAAGCTTTCTACATAATTGAGTGATGACCAAGAATCAACAGTACTTACTTTTCAGTGTTTGAAGACTTGAGGAGCAAAGTATGCTTGAATAGACTAGTTTGAACTAGTGTACCCTATAAAAAAAAAATCTCGGGACACTCTAAAGGAATTTTCTTATTTCAAGGTGACTTTTCAAGAGGGCATCACTTTTGCTGGTGTTTGAATATTTAATTAAAGAAAATGAGAGCTATTGAAGAACATAGACACAGTATTAAAACAGAGACAGTGAATGTACTCCTCAGTTTGACCCTTTCAAAGAATAATTCCTCTTAATGCTTTTGAGAATGTTCATCCATATTTTTTCTGTGTATATTTTTATTTTATAAAAATCTTTTCACCTGGACAACCCCTTCAGGTCACCTCCCACTATGGGAACTTTTGTGTCCTCTCAGTAAATCCTGCTTTAAAAAAAAAAATCTATTCATACTGTTTTTAAGTTTTTCACTCAACGATATATTATAGATATTTTTCTGCCATTTATGTGCATCAGTACATGGAAATGTATTTCTTCTTCTCTTAGCTGCTAAATAATCACCTGGAGGAAGCATAATTTATTTAACCAGGCACTTACTAATGGACATTCAAACTCCCCTCCCATTTTGTTATGATGATGTAACTCATTAATGAGATTTCTTGTGTATACATCTCAGTGTACTTTCTGTTATTTCCTAAGGGTAAATACTTGTAAGTAGATTTAATGGACATTACATTTTTACAAATATTACCATTAAAAAAATTAAAACAAAGAATGTACATAAAAACTGATGAAATCTGAATAAAATCTGTACTTGACTTAATAATACTGTAGCAATGTCAAATTTCCTGATTTTGACAATGTGCTGCGGTTATGTATAATATCACTGGGGGAAGCTGAGTGAGGATATATTTTTGCATCTTCTTGTGAATCTGCAACTATTTCAAAAAAACATTATTTATAAATATAAATATATAGCCAAATTAGGAAGGTTGTGTCAACTTATACTTCTACTAAGAACATATGAAGCTCTTGGCCAGTGGGCTCTCAGAGCTGGAGTCGTTAACAACAGACTAATGACTACTGAAAAAACACTCCATGTGGTCAGGATGTTAGTTATATACTGGGGTGTGAGCAAATAAGTAAACATAAAGAGGATAGTAGGAGCCAGAGAAAGAAGGTATAAATATGGAAAGGAGGAAGGCTAGAATAAAATATGTTATAGAATTAAAATTGGAGATATCTGTGTGAACTTAGGGTCTCTACTATGTAGAGATAGTTACAGAAACAGATATTTGATTTTATTTTACTTAAAGAAGTAAGTATTGGTTTGTATGGTCACTGGCCATTTTATTTATTCATAGTTGGGTTATATATGTACTTGCCTTTGTCCATTTGCTTGTTGAAGCTACCTTTTTTCTCACTGATTTAGAAGTCTTAGTACTTAATAGTATAGATTCTTATTTATGGTGCCTTTATTAGTGGTACTTTTTGCTAGACTTTTATGAAATTAATTTGTTGATCTTTTCCTTTATGATTCTGACTTTGGTCATTTTATCTGCTTATAATTTTGTTACCCAGGAATTTAGGCAGGGCCCCACTGGACAGTTCTTTTGCTTCACATAGTGCTTGGAGTTACTCACTTAGCTCTATTTAGCTGGCATCTGAGCTGGCTGACCCAGAAGATCTGCAAAGACTTCATGTCCAGGTCTTGGTAGGCCTCAGTGCTCCTCCAGGCTTTTTTTTTTTCCCCTCTCTCTCTGTATGGTTAGCTTGAGTTTACCAGTGGGAGGATGGAGCAGAAACTTGGTGGGTGGGATGTGTTAAAACAGGTGGTATGTCAAATCCTTGTCCACTCATAGTGGAAGTTTTGAGCTGCAACCTAGCTCCCTGATTATTTTCTTTCTCATGTTTTGCCTTCCCAGGACTCCCTTCTTCCTCAAGAGATTATCATCAAGGTTGAGGGAGAAGATGCTGGTTCACTCGCTGTCCCATCCAAGGTGAGTTGGACAAGGCCTCTTTCTTTACCTTGAGAAATGTGCATGGCTTGATGGTGGCAGGAGTCAGATTTTGAAGCAAACTAGAGAGTAAAAAGTGAGGAAGTGGAGAAAAGAGTGGACAACTTTCCCAAGAAATTTAGTTATTGTGTGAAAGACTAAAGAGAGCGAGAGCTACAAGGAAAGTTGAGATTGAGGGGCATTTTCTTTCTTTTTTTTTTTAAGAGATTGAAAAGATTTGATACTGTTTAAGTGGCTATAGGAAGGAGTTAGTGGAGAAAAAGAGGTTAATGCTCAGGAGACAGAGGAGATAAACTGTGAAACAGAGTCCTTGTTAGCACCAGAGGAATTAATTCAGAACATCTGCAAATAAATTAGCTCTCTATGGGGAGAAGGATTTACTTAGGAAGAATGAAGTTGAGGGAGTGATTTAAAGACTTGGATTTTTCTCTGTGAAAGATCAGATGAGCATGAAAGTAGGAACTGGAATGGAGAGATGTTTGACAAGGGTAGAGAAAGTATAAGACAGCAATTTCAAATTATTGAGAGAACAAGATGCTCCAGTAGGTATAATAGTCTGAAAGGATCATTCAGAGATAGTGACCATTAATTTATAATACTCTATCCAGCTGCCTTTATAAGTTTGTGTCCCCAGTGGCATTCTGTAACCCACTTTCCATAGATAGCAGATGGACTTTAGAATTCTTTTAGTTTTTTGTAATTTGCCAGGTCAACTCCTGAGTGGGAGTGGGAGGTCAAGGGAATGTTTGAAAGAGTTTTGAAATATATCAGATAGAAAGATTAAAATGCATGGTCCATAGACTCTGTACTGAGTAATTGAGGTAGAGACAATAAAGAGACCACTAAATAGAAAGGAAAAGAATATAGACTGGTAGATATTAATAGTAGACATTTCAGTAGCATGATAGCCCCAAACCATTGAAGAACAAGAAGAGTGAAAGGAGAAATTGAGCCAATACAGTGGAGCAATCTGATGTTGTTGCCAAAGAATGGACAATGTCATATGTGTGATTAGAGTACTTTTTGGTGATTTCAAGGTCTCAAGTGTCACCCGAAAAATGGGCTGAGCAACTCCAGGATATGATTTGTCTGCTCCTCTCACCTAAATCTCACAAAATGAGACATATGCCAATTTGAAAAAGTCCTTCAGTATGCGGATACTGGCTTTTCTGGACTTCTCTCACACTTATCTCTTCTTCCTCTTACCTGTCCCAAGCTCTCTACTTCTCAGAACTTCCCAAACTCTTCAGCTGTGCCTTCAGAACTCATCTTCTATAATAATAAGCTCTTACAGCTTCAACATCCTTCACCAAACACTCCCAATACATCCCTGTGTTACTAAAGATCTATGGACTAGCCATATGAATTGATGACTGAGACCACAGTCTCTGATGCCATGCAAACTTGAGATTGCATCCCATCCACCAACCTTAGGCATATGTCTTAATTTCTCTAACTTTTTTGTTCTTCATATGATAAATGGTGCTGCAAATAGTACTTTCTTACAGGACCATTATGATAATCCATGCGACCTATTAGCACACTGCCTGATACCACATTGCTGCTTTATCAAAGTTCTCAAGAGCTTGATTAAAGCCAGTTATTTTTATATTCTCATCAGCTGACTATACAAGTTGATGCTATTGACAACACAAGACGAAACAAGACAAGTCCTTATATTAGAGGATAAATCCCAGGAGTGAGTCTTCCATGAAGGGAGATGGGGAAGTGTTCAGCATGTTAGTAGGGCAGAACTTCAAGAAGTGAGGTAAATGACAGGAGTTTTAGTGTAACTGGGAAGACTTTGACACTGAGATCCCCAGACTGGGAGAGCATGACCATCCTTAGCCTGTAATGAGTACAGAGGAAGGGAATTCTCGGGGGAAAGTATAGGTCTTTATTAACACAGGGATGTGTAGGGAATGTTTGCTGAAGGACATTGAAGCTGTGAGAGTTTATTATTATAGAAGATGAGTTCTGAGGGCACAGTAGAATAGTTCGGGAAGAAATTTTGAGGAGTGGGGAGTTTGGGACAGGTAAGAGGAAGAAGAGATAAGTGTGATAGAAGTCCAGAAAAGCCAGTGTCTGCACACTGAAGGACTTTTTCAAATTGGTATGCAGCGCACTTTGTGAGATTTAGGTGAGAGGAGCAGACAAATCAGAATTTGGACGAGGGTCATTTTGATATATTAGAATGTCTGTTGATACTATTGATTAACTTAACGAAACAATGACCAAATTAAATTTAATCTCTACTGTATATCAAAACTGAGGAGTGGAGTTTCAGCTGTAAATTATAAATACCTTGTCCCCATTCTCATGGAGCATGGCCTAGTGACAGAGATGACTGCTATGCAAATGATAAGAAAGTGTGATGATAGAAGTCCATTTGAGAATATATAGGTGGTGGTGGACTGGGGGTTCTAATCTAGTTTAGTATTATCTGTTTACTTTTGAACAATCTTAATTCTGTAGGGACAGACATTAAACAGAAAAGGGGAGTGTGTATTAAAAGGAAGCATGGATTGCAGGTTGAGAACAGTACCTTGAAAATCATTGTTCGATGCAAGTGGCAGTTTGTACATTATATTTCTGAATTCCGTGTTGAGCTAATCATGAAAATCTTTGAGATTTTATTGAAACTTAGGGGCCCTGGCTTATAAAAAGGCATATACAGTGGCATTTTGCATGCAGTTTCATAGGATTCAGAACCCTATGTCCTATTCTTGAACCACAGCTTAAGAATGCCTGGTCTGTTTATGGCCGGGCTCGGTGGCTCAGCCTGTAATCCCAGCACTTTGGGAGGCTGAGGTGAGTGGATTGCCTGAGCCCGCGAGTTCGAGACCCGCCTGGGCAACTTGGTGAGACCTCATCTCTACAATAAATCAAAAATGAGCCGGGTGTGGTAGCGTGCGCCTGTAGTTCCAGCTACTTGGAAGGCTGAGGTGGAAGGATCGCCGGAGCCCAGCAGGTCGAGGCTGCGGTGGCTGGGAGCGGCCATTGCACTCCAGTCTGGGCGACAGAGTGAGACTCCAACTTAAAACAACAACAACAACAACAACAAAGATTTAAAGAGCCTTTTAGTGGCAAGAGGTATTCATCTTCCCCAGCCTTTGCTGCTTTTGAGTAAAGACAGATCACTTTTTTTGGATTAAAATTATTGCCCAGTGGTTTTGGGAACAGATCCTTTCCTGCTTAGAGGAGGCTGCCCCAAAAATCCTATTTATATGACAGTAATGACAATGAATGTCTTCTAAAAGGCTCTGCTATGCAGCATTGGGTGTGGACAGAAATAAAACTGTCATCTGAAGACTAAGACTAAGTGACCTGAAGGGATAAAGGTCACTTTGTGACCAGGCATGGTGGCTTATGCCTGTAATCCCAGCGCTTTCGTAGGCCAAGGCAGAGAATCACTTGAGGCCAGGAGTTCAAGACCTTCCTGGGCAGCATAGTGAAACCCTGTCTCTACAAAAAATTTTTTAAAAATTAGCTGTGTGGCTCAGGCTATAATCCTGGCGCTTTGGGAAGCCAAGGCAAGTGGATTGCCTGAGCCTGTGGATTCGAGACCAGCCCCAGCAACTTGGCAAGACCTCGTCTCTACAATAAATCAAAAATTAGCCAGACATGATAGCACATGCCTGTAGTTCTGGCTACTTGGAAGGCTGGGGGAAGGATTGCTGGAGCCCAGCAGGTTGATGCTGGGGTGGCTATGAGCGTGCCACTGCAATCCAGCCTGGGTGACAGAGTGAGACTCCGATTCAAAAATAAATAAATAGAAATTAGCTGGGCATAGTATGAATGCCTATAGTCCCAGATACTCAGGAGACTGAGGAGGAAAGATTGCCTGAGCCCAGGAGTTGGAGGCGGTAGTGAGCTATGACTTTGTCTCTTAAAAAACAAAGGTCATGTTGGCTGTCAGTTCATCTTTCATGGTTCTAAGACCTTATAATTTTAATAGTACATACTGAGCATACCTGATCAGAAAATCTGAAATGCTCCAAAATTAGAAACTTTTTGAGTGCTGACATGATACCACAAGTGAAAAATTCCACACCTGACCTCATGTGATGGGGAGCAGTCAAAACTTTGTTTCATGCATAAAATTATTAAAAATATTGTGTAAAACTACTTTCAATCTATGTGTTTGGATATACATGAAACATAAATGAATTTTGTGTTTAGACTTGGGTTCTATCTCCAAAATATCTCATGTATATGCAAATGTTTCAAAATCTGAAATCTGAAACATTTCTGGTTCCAAGCATTTTGAATAAGGGATACTCAACCTGTATTTGCCATCTTTTCTTATTTGATCAGTAAACTTGGCTAATCGCTTTTCAGAGATCATCACAATTATTCATTCAACCCAATGAGTTGGGTGTGCTTAGTCCTAACTAATAGAAAATGGAATAAACTCACCATTAAAAGACAAATTGTCAGATTAGATATATTTTAAAATCTAGATATGTGCCCTTTGTAGGTAAGAGAACCCAAGTCTATTCTCCTCTAAATTCAGTGTTCTTCACTTATGCATACTGCCTTTCATTGAAACCCACATTTCATTTTCTGTCTCAAGCACTAGCAAAGTACAGCCTGTGAGTCAAATTTGGCCCACTGCCTGTTTTCATAAATAAGCTTATTGTAATATGGCCACACCTATTTGTATATTTTCTGTGGCTGATTTCTTGCTACAGCAGCAGAGTTGAGTAGTTGTGGATAGAAATTATGTAACCTGCAAAGCCAAAACTATTTACTCTCCAGCATTTGACAGAAAAAAAATGACCACCCCTATTCTTTTAGTTTCTTGAGAATTTGGAGGGAATTCCTAAGTTGGAATGCACCCGTGCAAAAATCAGAATAAGTATTTTCTTTCAGGTAGTCAAGAATTCTAGAAAACAATTTATATCAGTTTTTATCTATTGTTCCTCTTTGGGGTTGTAAAACAGGTCCAGTATCCAAAATCTAATGGGGTCCACCTAGAAGGCACCAGTATACCTTGACTAGAATCCTTTGGACACTGACAGTCCCAGGACAACTTCCATGCTGCTAGGTTTTCCTTCTTCCAGCTGTCAGACTTTTTCTCCTTCATGAACACTGGAAGGAATTGATGCCCTGCTGAGCAGGAATGTGTGTCATGTTTTAGGAAGGAGTAAACTTCAAAATTGTGACTGTGGACTTCACTCAGGAGGAACAGAATACTTGGAACCATGCTCAAAGGACCCTGGACAGAGATTTGATTCTGGAGAACCACAGGGACTTGGTCTCTTGGGGTAAGAATAAAATCACCCTTAGTTAAGATCTGTCTACTAAAATGATTTTACATTCCCATTAATTGAGATGTGGGGTTCAGCATCCAGAATGATTTTGGCTGCATGTAGGCTGTGTTTATGCTCTTTATTTGCCAGTGAAGATTAATTTTAATTTGTAGGGTAGAAAAGGCATAGCTTCTTGGGCTTGAACCTTTTCAATCTTCCTGATTCCTAAAGGTCAAAGGCTGGGATCAAGCTCTGCAGTGATTTTCTTTTGGGTGCTTACCCAGCCCAAACACCCAAAGTCCTGTATCTTTCTTCATCGGTTTTTTTTTTTCATCAACTTTTCAAACCAGACACAATCTCCTAGTTGGAAAAAGAGGAAGAATTTCTTTCTTTCTTTTTTTTTTTGAGTTGGAGTTTCACTCAGTCGCCCAGACTGGAGTACAGTGGCCGCTCCCAGCCACTGCAGCCTCAACCTGCTGGGCTCCGGCGATCCTTCCGCCTCAGCCTTTCAAGTAGCTGGAACTACAGGTGCGCGCTACCATGCTGGCTAATTTTTTTAAATTTATTGAAGAGATAAGGTCTCGCCAAGTTACCCAGGCAGGTCTCGAACCCGCAGGCTCAGGAAATTCACTCACCTCGGCCTCTCAAAGCACGGGATTACAGGCTGAGCCACCGAGCCCGGCCAGGAAGAATTTCTTAACACATGTGTTCAGATGAGAACCAGACTCATAGGGGTCATTACAAGTACAGAAGGTTTGTTTGAAAAATCCCCATAGGAAATGCCACATTTTTCTTCACCTCCCACATATTGGTGGACTATATATATATCACTCATTTTTCAGTTATACTCTCCATTGCTTGACCTAGTAGCCAGCAGGCTACTAGGAGAAAATCTCCATTTTCTCTTAGTTGGAATTACAGGAATCCATTGGGTTAAATTAGCTGCTAAGATATTTAGAGAATGGGATAATAGTGCCCTATTCTTTTTTCTGGGTTCACAAAGGTAGTTTGCTCATGTCTTACTGACACAGACTATTTTTGTAAGATTCATGCCTTCAGAAATTCCTAGGTATATAGACACTAATCTCTATTTCAGTAAACACGTGTCTAGCATTAAAGAGGGTGAAAAAGACCTACCTCTATTTCTTTGCTAAGGATTGAAAATTGGGTTGCGATTCCATAGGTTCTGCGTAGATGATCCTGTTTTGGATTAGGCTGGTATTTGATATCCAAAGTCTTTTATTTAGACTAAGATTAAACTAAAATAAACTATTTTAAGATTAAAATAGCTCCATTTTTAAGTCTTGTTGTACTGTTGGGCTATGGTAGTTCTGTACTTACTGCTTCATCCCACCCTTTTGCTTTCTCAACCCAGGTTATCAGTCAATAGTTGAAAACAAATCCATATATATTTTGCATATTTTCTTGTTAACTTTATTTCATTATTCCAGCTTTAATATTTTTTGTCTAGGATGTCTTATTTTCTTTCTTCCAGACTTGGCAACTGCCCTTGGAAAAAGAGAATCACCTTCAAACTGGAGCACTTTTGATGAAGAGCCATCTCATGGAGTGAAGATAGAAAGGTTTTCAAGGAATGATCCTTGGTTATCTTCATGTGAAGAAGTTTGTGATTGTAAGGACCAGCTAGAGAAGCAACAGGAAAAACAAGAGAGACTTTTGCAGGAAGTAGCATTCACTCAAAGGAAAGCTGTTATTCATGAGAGAGTCTGCAAAAGCAATGAACTTGAGGAGAAGAGTGGTCTGAATTCCAGTCTTCTTTCACCCCCAATGGTACCTATAAGAAACCTCTGTAGTAAACATGTATCACATGTTAGGAAATTATGTCATAATTCTGTTGTAAACAGTTATCAGAAGATTAATGACTGTGAGAAACAATGTGAAAATAATGAATATGGGAAACCCCCTCAGAGCATTCACCTTATTCACTTTACAAGAACTCAAACAAAAGATAAATCCTATGGATTAAGTGACAATATTCAATCTTTTAGCCATAGTCCACCCTTAAATATACATGAAAAATTTCATACAGAAGGAAAAACTTTTGATTTTAAGGAATGTGCACAAGTCTTGAACCACAACATGTCCCATAATGAACAACAGAGAATTTCTGTTGAAGAGAGTCAATATAAATGTAGTAAGACCCCTAAGAGTTCCTCCCTTACTCAAAACATGAGAAATCATTCTGAAGAGAAACCTTTTGAATGTAATCAATGTGGGAAATCCTTCAGCTGGAGCTCACATCTTGTTGCACATCAGAGAACTCATACAGGGGAGAAACCTTACGAATGTAATGAATGTGGAAAGTCCTTCAGCCGGAGCTCACACCTTGTTTCCCATCAAAGAACTCATACTGGAGAGAAACCTTATAGATGTAATCAGTGTGGAAAATCCTTTAGCCAGAGTTATGTCCTTGTTGTGCATCAGAGAACTCACACTGGAGAGAAGCCTTATGAATGCAATCAATGTGGAAAGTCATTTAGGCAGAGCTACAAACTTATTGCACATCAACGAACTCATACCGGAGAGAAGCCCTATGAATGCAACCAATGTGGGAAATCATTTATCCAGAGCTATAAGCTTATTGCACATCAAAGAATTCATACTGGAGAAAAACCCTATGAATGCGATCAATGTGGGAAATCCTTTAGTCAAAGCTACAAACTTGTTGCTCATCAGAGAACTCACACAGGAGAAAAACCCTTTGAATGTAATCAGTGTGGAAAATCCTTCAGCTGGAGCTCTCAGCTTGTTGCACATCAAAGAACTCACACTGGAGAGAAACCCTATGAATGTAATGAGTGTGGAAAGTCTTTCAACCGTAGTTCTCACCTTGTTATGCATCAGAGAACTCACACAGGAGAAAAACCCTATGAATGTAATCAGTGTGGGAAATCCTTCAGCCAGAGTTATGTTCTTGTTGTACATCAAAGAACTCATACTGGAGAAAAACCCTATGAATGCAGTCAATGTGGGAAATCATTCAGGCAGAGTTCATGCCTTACTCAACATCAGAGAACTCATACTGGAGAGAAACCCTATGAATGTAATCAGTGTGGAAAAACGTTTAGCTTGAGTGCTCGACTTATTGTACATCAAAGAACTCATACTGGAGAGAAACCCTTTACATGTAATCAGTGTGGGAAAGCTTTCATTAATAGCTCTAAACTTATTAGGCATCAGTCAACTCATACTGAAGAGAAACCCTATGAATGTTAACTAGTTTGGAAATCTTTCAGCCAGAGTTATTCCTTTTTCTTTCATCATTAAAGTGTTTTGTAAGAAAGTATATGTAGTGGGAAGAGCTAGTTTAAAAACAATGTATGTGGGAAAACTTGCAATTAGCTCTCTGTTATTATGTGTCTAGAAATTCATTCTGAAGAAAAAAGGAGAAAATCTATAATAATCTAGATATTTTAACTTAGCAGTTCCACCTACAAAATTAAACTTGGCCCTTATGACATATTTCTACAAAAGTAATAAATATTGGCACTTTTCCTTTCAGAAACACTCAGACCTGAATCTGAGAGAAAACCATATGCTGAAGAGTAACCGCCAGGGAGGTAGACAAAAGAGTAAACTAGAATGCTAACACTAATAGGCTTGTTGTTGAAAAGATTGCTGTAGTTTTTAGAACTTAGGCTGGGAAACAATATTTCATTGTATCATTTTACTACATGATTTCCCCGTTAGGTAGTTGGTAATCTGTTTCATACAGCACTTTGTTACATGTGAAGATTTTTATAAAAATTAGGAAGATGCTATGATATGAAGTGAAAAATGCAGGCAAGTATATAGAAGGAATATTTATTTCTAGAATCATTACAATGAAATATTTGTGTATGGATTAGAATTGAAAGGGTTTATGGGAGTATCAATTTAATTTTGGGTGTTTATGTTGTGCTTTCTTCTTTTTTGGAATGTATGCTGTTTTGCTATAATGATATACTGAGTGAAAACTAGTAAATAAATAAATAAATTAATTAATTAATTAAACATTTAATCTCCTTTGACCATTTAGGAAAGACTGTGAAACTAGATAGCAAAGTTTCCCCCAGGTTCTGAGATTTCTGTTTGGGTTAGTATGAGTAAGTTATTCTGTAGGACTTAGAGGCTCAGAAATATTTCTCATTGAAAATAAAATAGTTCCCTGGAATTGGGTAACTAGAAATTTTGGCCAGAAAGGGTTCTGTATGATGGGTGAGAATCCTTAGGCAGTATAGTGGGCAAGTAGCCTTATTTTCATATGTCCAAAGTAGTATAAGGGAGCTCTATTTTCAAGTTGTTTTTGTCTCTCTCCTCATGTAACGTTGTCTCTTCTCTGAGTTATGTTCCCAGATGTGAGAGCCCTCTGAAGAGGAAGGTACTTCCCTGACTAAAGTGCTCGTCACCTAAATTGGGCTTGGAAAGAATGTTTTCAGTGAAGCAAGATTTGTAGCCACTCTTATTTTTAAGATTTGGTTCACATGTCTTCTTGACCTTTGTCCCCAAATTATGATTCTTAATACTGTGGATTACCATGTGCCTGAAACCTTCAATTCCAGGTTAATGAAATACAAGATGAGAATAGAGGTTGACTGCCTAGAGTAAGGAAGAAAACCTAAGGTGACATCTACTGAGATTACCCTTGGTGAAATCCTGTCCCTATGAGGTGACCTTGACTGTAGCCTTCTCTGTGAGGATTAAGCCAGAGAGTACAGCACACCTGGTAGTTACAGAACGTCTAAGGGGACAGTTGTTGATGTCTGGAAAACTTAATCCCAATCCCAAGAGAATTTCCAGCAAGATTTATCCATGCATTGGCTGTAGGAGAGGATATAAAATTGTGCAAAACCTCAATTTAACAATGAGACCTAAATAAGCATATTTTTCTCAAAATTATATATAAAACCAATGTCAGCGCTAGGTACAAGTGGATGGTTCTCACTGGGTGCCTTTCTTTGAAGGCAAGGAATCATGATTGTACAAATGAATATAAAGCTAACTGGGCTAAAAATTAGGCCTTGGAAGGTTTCAAATTTTTGAAGTGATTTATTGCAAAGGAATTTCTTCAGTAAATGTTGAAGACATTTTACTAAAACTACAAAGAATTATTTTGAGGTGAGTATGTGGTCATGAATGATTTTGTGTATGTGTGTTTGCACACACTTCTGGACAAGTTGAATATGTGATTCATCTCTGTATTAAGTCATAATGTCCGATCACCACACATCTGGAACAAACTAGATTATAATTGTTTACTGCTATCTCATCCTGGGGTGGGGCAGATATGGGGACTACCCTGAAGCCGTTTAATATGTTAGCATTTCTTTCCTATACAGCTGTCCCTTAGTGGATGTAATTTTACTGGTTACCTTTGGACCGCTTGATCCAGATCATATAGCATTCCTTAAGATATTTTATAGTAGCTGGGCTCAGTGGCTCAGCCTGTAATCCCGCGCTTTGGGAGACTGAGGTGAGTGGATTGCCTGAGCCCGCGGGTTCGACACCCGCCTGGGCAACTTGGCGAGACCTCATCTCTACAATAAATCAAAAAATCAGTCGGGCATGGTAGCGCATGCCTGTAATTCTGGCTACTTGGAAGGCTGAGGTGGAAGGATCGCCGGCGCCCAGCAGGTCAAGGCTGCGGTGACTGGGAGCGGCCACTGCACTCCAGTCTGGGCGACAAAGTGAGACTCCAACTCAAAAAAAAAAGCTATTTTATGTGTTAATCTATGTCAGTCAGTAGCGTTATTCTCAGTGCTCCATAAGGCAACTGTAATTTTGATACTGAAACTCTTATTAGTGAAAGTAACTTAATAATTAAGGGATCTTGGTGAGCACAAGAAGTGCATAGCATTAAGATTGGAGCTCATAAAATCACAAAATTGTAGGCTGCTTGGGCTTTTACAGATATTAATTAAACTATTAATCTGTACTAAACTTTAGCTTAAAAATATTCTGAGCTAAATCAACCTCTGATACATGATGGAGAGACCCTAGAATTGGAAATCAAACAACCAAGAATAAGGCAAAAAATTCCTAAGTTAAGGATGGTGATGGCTTTTTTTTAAAAGCAGGATTTACTGAGGGTACAGAAAAGCTCTCACAGTGGGAGGGGACCCGAGTGGGTTGCCCTGATGATGACTTTTGAAAGAGGTCACACAAGTGTAATAAAACTTTTTTTTTTTTTTTTTAAAAAGGCATTATGCTGTATGTCACCAATTTATTCATATAAGGTTGTCAAGACACTGCTGGTCTCCCATTAACTGCAGCTTGAGAAAAGGCTAGTTGCAAATGTATTCTCTGCCTCCAAAGTTATTGTATGTCTACTTTTATTTTACAGATACATTCTAGGAGCAAGTGCTATGGAGGCTCCTCAGGGAAGGTACTCTCTGTCTCCTCAGGGAAGGTGCCATCTGTTGCTTGTAGTAATAGAATTCCAAGCCATTACAGGGGCTTGTCTTACAAGGAGTCCAAGGGCAGTTGTTTTCAGGGTTTGCTCAGCATAGCCATTATGAGCAAATGCTTTGGATTTACTTCTCTGTTGTTCTCTTCACCTTTTTCTCCTGGACACAAGATTGCCTTTGCACCTCCTACATCACATTCTCACACAGTGGACTTTCAAAGCAAGAAGGATGAGAGATTTTTTTTTATCAGGGAGAAAAAAAATCCCCATAATCCTTCCAGGTGATTTGGCCTAACCAGGTGATGCAGCCATGCCTACCCACAAGGGGAACTGGGCAAGTAGGCATCTGACCTCTTCAGTCCTGGTTATTAAAGATAGGCAATTTTGACAATAAAGTATAGGTTAATAGCCACCACAATCAATTCACTTCTAAAGTATAGCCATTGTTCTTTGTCAAAATGTACCAGAAAATAGCCCTATGCCACCCCTTGCATACCTCATATCTCTTCTATTAGGAAAAACCTGTTTGCTCTTCTTTATATTTGCTTCTTCCTAATGTGATCTTGGAGAAATATACCCTATTATTTCCCAAATAAGAGAAAGTTGGATGGGAATCGTCATGGAATGTCTTTTGAGATTACTGCATAGGCAAAGATATTCAGTAACTTTGACCGTGAGCTCTAGAGCTCTGTCCACAGAGTTAACAAAAAGGAGAGGAGTGGTTAGCATACCCTCCATGGGCGTAGAACGTGTGAAACCTTCCTGTGGCTAAACCCACATGTACAGTCGCTGAGTAAGCAAAGCAAAGCAAGTTCTTTGGGATCATTGACAGTCTACCTTTAGTGAGGACTGAAGCCTGTAGGGCAGGTCATATTCACAATTTGGGTCTTATGCTTGGCAAGATCAGGATTCTGTCTCAGTGGCCAGACATTTCTAGCTCGCTGCAACAAAGACAGGGTAGTCCTGTCTAGAGGAAAAAGAAGAGAAAATACTGTCTACCCACCTTCCTCACAAATACATAACACAATATAACACAACTGATTCAGTGGTTAATGAAAAAAAGACTTAACCTCGTTTTTTATATCAAATCAGAAAAGGTTTTTTTTTTTTTCTTTTAAGCCTACAGTACCTGGTACTCCTAGGAGGCCTCCCACTCAAGTATTAACTGGGCCCTACCCTTTTGAGATTGAACACAGCTTTTGAGATTAGGCACAGTCAGGATGGTATGGCTATAGACAGAAAAAGTATATTTTTAATTGTACTATCCAATTTGAGAGATGGAGAAAGCAAAAGGCATGGGTGGATGGATGAAGCTCACACTTTGATTCATTGCTGAGATTTCATAAATTGAGATGGCCTTTCTAGAAAGCAATTTAACAACATATGTGAAGAGTCATCCAAATACTTGGACTTTTTTTTTTTTTCTCCAATCATTTTTCTTTTAAAAAATATCATCACTGACATGGACAAAAATTAATGCCTGTGGAGTATCACTACATAATAATTATGCAAAATTGATTAATAAAAAAGGAAAACGTCAACATTAGCAGAATGAATAGAAAAATAAGGCTTGCCCGGGTGTGGTGGCTCAAGCCTGTAATCCCAGCACTTTGGGAGGCTGAGGTGAGGGAATTGCCTGAGCCCTTGGGTTTGAGACCAGCCTGGGCAACTTGATGAGACCTCATCTCTACAATAAATCAAAAAATTAGCCGGGCATGGTAGTTATGGCCACTTGGAAGGCTGAGGCGGAAGAATCACCAGAGCCCAGCAGATGGACACGGGGGTGAGTGGGTGGATGGGACATGACAGGGGAGGCATGAATGTGCCCCTGAACTCTAGCCTGGGTGACAGAGTGAGACTCCAACTCAAAAAAAAAAAAACCAATGCTAGTAATATGGTAATAACCCAAAGGGTATATGAGGACAATCTTGAGTGCGCATGTATGCTGGTTAGTAAAGTCCCTAGTGGGTAGGGTTTCACACTAGACAGGATATTGTAACAGCAGAAAGGAGACATAAGGAATTTGGGGCATGGACAGGGCTGAAACTGGGTAGTTCAGGTGTGAAACTTGGATGGTCTAGGGTGTGACTGGAGGGCAGGATACACTGAGTGGCATGCCATCCTGCTCATGTTACCTCATTCCACTATAATTTCCAGGTCTTATCTCTTTCCCTGTTTCCCCTTATTTTCTGTGGCCCAGTAGTTTTCAGTCAGAAGAGAATGCTCACTCAGGAAGATACACCAGGATCTGTGGGGGAATCTTTCAAATATGCCATCTGGGATTGTGATATGTGGCCTCCATAGGAGGCGGGGAGACTGCATAGCCCTGATTGATATTGAGAGATGATATCGATGGGAGAGTGTTAGGAATGTTAATTATTTGGAGGTAGGATATGTTTAAAAGGAACGTTCTACCTGTAGTAATAGGAGAAGAGAATCACAAAAATGCCCATCTGCTATTGAAGCTATATCTAGGAAAGCCTGAGAACATAGAGGCGACCTGCACCCCCAAACAGATACACCACCACCTTTTGCCAACACATTTATAACCAGTACACTCTGGACAAAAATAGTTCTGTGATTCCTCCCTTTTCTGTCATTATCCATA